ATACACTTTGTTATGCACTGGATTCCTGTACTCTTACCTATAGATAAGATTGAGTTTGTACATCAGGATGCGAGCACTGCTCTGGATCTGTTAGATATTGTAGAAAAATGTGGAAGATGTTACTAGATTAAACGAGTCTTTTGCCCAGAAGGAAAATGGCCCTCCTGAAGGAACTCTGGTAGCATAGTTGTTAAGAGTCAGGCTGCCAGCCTCAACATCAGCTGTTCAAAACTACCAGTGGTTCCTTGGGAGAAAGATGAGGCTTTCTGCTCCTGTAACAATTTACAGCCTCGGAAACCCCGTGCAGGGTCACTATGAGTTGGATTAGACTCCACAGCACATCATCACCACCACTATATACCTGCTTTCTAAGTTATAAGAAACGGTCTGAAGGATGTGTTAATATCAATAGGAAAAGTGAGTAGGTAAATTCACCCCGTTTGCCTTTGGTTGATAAAAAACCCCAGTCCTCTTTAGGCAGGCCTAGTATGTCAACTGGAGTCATTCTCGCCCCAACTACCTTCATAAGAGGCACTGGATGTATTGTGCCCACGTTACAGGATCTGAGATGGTGATGCTAAGCATGTCTGTTAACCATCTGAGCACTTCGTAACCTGTGTGGGACTTGGTTATGATGTTTTCCCAGTTTATGCTTCGTGTTGTCATGAATTTGAATTGTTTTGATGTGGGAAGAATTTTATTTTAATTCAAAAGAATGGTATTATGAAGTTCATAGCATTGGTTTGATACCATTTTTGCCAAAATAAATCCCACATCCATTTTAACTGTTTAGAAAGAGCCTATAAATATTGGTCTGTGCTTTTTTAACATAGGAAACTAAGAGAGACTGGAGAATTACCAACAAATTTGATCCTTCCAATAGTATAGACTATTGTTGCCAGGACTTTAGTGGTCTTAAGATTCATACAGGTAAATATTGGTGATTCTTTATCTGGATAGATGCTTTTGTGTCCAGAGATACTCTTGGTTCTTCTCTGTCCCAATATTTTACGGAAAGATCCTACAGGAACAAAAAGGAGTACAGAGAAAATCCTGTTTCACTCAATGCCTTGTCGTCTTTAACTCCATCTGGGATTTGAAGAAATCATATGGTTGGGAGGTGACTTAAGAGAACAGTTGAGAATTCTTTTAAATTCATTAAGACAAGCATCTGTGAAGGACAATGACTTAAAAAGACCGCCAAGAGACTGAGAAGTTAATAACTAAAATGGGGACACATTCTTTAGTGCAGAATTGTTCCCATGAACCCAGACTTCTCTTTTGGCACTGCGTTGGCCTTGGCTACCATTTCTGACTCTTTGATATATTTTTTCATAATTGGGTCAGATTGAGGGGAGTGAGAACATTCTGGTTTGAACCAGTTCAGTCATGGCTGATGAAGCAAAACCAGAACAAACACAGATTTTTAATATTTGGGTGATTCAGAATGCTAAGTAGAATGGGGGAAATTATTGGTCTAAGCCCTGGACTGGGCATTTCGGAAGAGATGTATTGAGCTCTTTCAGGCACCTGATGTGTGACATTGGGTTGCCAGGAATATGAAGAGCAACAAACATTCAAAGCTGTGCTGTCGGCCACCATCTTTGGATAAAATTCATCAGTTTGTAACTCAGCCAGTCAGGAGTTTTGGTTGCTATGCAATGTGTACTGTGCCCTTATTCTCAAAGAGGGAGCTTTTCTCACAGGCTTTAACCTATCATTTTTCCCATTCTGGTTTGTGTTCTGGTATACCCACATTGACAGATGTGGGGTCCGTTTTGGTGTCATTTCATCAGCCATGAGTGAACCAGGTTGAAGTGGTTCAAAGCTCTACAGAGAGTAATAAATCCATTATTGAATTGAGAAGTTAGTAGCTTCAAATAGTAAGGAATGAGAGGGATGCCATGTGTAAATGATTTGAAGCACCCGTTTCCCAGAACTGTACTCCTCTGTGAGTCTGCATTCCAAACAAATAGCTCTGCTTAGGTGGGTGGTCCCAGAAACCAAGAATGAATTTTCTGAGCAGGGGTATGAGACTGGGTGGTGTTGGGAGCTTCTCTAGGGAATCCTACCTTGGGGTTGACTAGTGTTTGAAGAAGTGTTTCCCCTCTCTGTGACACATTTGGGTAAAACAGGGTTCTTTGTCTTCTCTTTTAAGGGGCTCTGGTAGCACAGTGGTTATGAGTCAGGCTGCTAATCTCACAGTCAGCAGTTTGAAACTACCAGCGGTTTCATCGGAGAAAGATGAGGCTTTCTGCTCCCATTAAGAGTTGCAGCCATAGAAACCCTATACAGGTTCTCTGTGAGTCAGAACCAACACGAAGGTGCATAACTACCACCTTCTCCATGAGGTATTCAAAATGATGATGAGATATAATGGCTCCTGCCAAACAAGGTGACTTTTGTGATTAAGTTAGGTGGGTTTGATCGCTGAGGATTTTATTACACTATTTTCCTGACTCCCCAACAAAATTGTAGGTGCATGAAACCAATCATAATGTTTCCAACTTTGTGTTTTGAAGCTATTGGAGGGTTTTGAGGAAAGGAGTGACATGCAGTGATTTAGTGTTGAAAAGTGATTTATTGTTGTAGTTACTGGGTGAGCTTGCACTGGTGGGTGAGGAGGAGGGTGAAAACAAGGAAACTAGTGGGAGGCTGTTTTTTAATCTTCACATGAGATTATGGGCTTTGACCAAAGGGGTAGAGGTGTGGAGATGGCAAGACATTCTGACTGTATTTTTGAAGTATAACTAATAGGATTTCTTGACATAACAGAGGTGGAAATTCAAAGAAAGACATAGTTGCAACGTTTGGGGCCACAATGAGAGTGGAAGTACAGTTTGCTGATGATGGTAGACCTGGTGGTAGGGAAAGCAAGCATCTAATTTTTGTTACTTGATCTCCTGTAGCAAATGCAAATGGTGGTGTCAAGTAGGCTCTTGGTTATATGAGTCTAGAACCCATAGGCTTTTAACTGGAGAAATTTAAAAGGAAGAAACACCTTTTTTTAGTTTGTTTAAAACATTTTTATTTTTTGTTGCTGTTAGAAATATACACAGCAAAACACATTATCAGTTCAACAGTTTGTAAGTGTACAATTAGGTGGCATTGATTAGTCTTTGAGTAATACAAGCAGACTCACTCTCCTTTTGAGTTATTCCCTTCCTGTTAAAATAAACTCGACCCCCATATGTTTCTTACCTAGTTTTTAATGTTGTTGTCAATTTGATCCCATGTAAACGGTTCTTAGAATAGCACAACGCTCAAGGCAGACATTTCTTACTAGTTAAGTGAAACTTTTGCAATTAAGTTAGGTGGGTTTGACCTCTGAGGATTTTACTCACTATCTTCCTGACTTCCCGACAAAATTGTAGGTACATGAAACCAATCATAATGTTTGGTTTCAAAAGACTTGAGGAACTATTTTTTGTTTAAGGTCTAACGAGTATCTCAGGGAAGACAGTCACTTCCTGGGTTCACCCAGCCTCCATGGCTCCAGAGAGCAGCACTTTTTGTTCAGGGTCCTTGAGGTGCTACTGCTGGTAAATGGATGAAAGTGTTAGTTTCAGCAGGCTGCAACAGTCATGTGTTGAATAGACATACCCTTAATTGCCCTGTAGAATTGGCAAAACGTGGGCGAACCAGAATGATAACTGGAATAAGAAAAATTACAGATTGACACCATGCTTGAGACTTACTTTCCCTCTAAAAAAAAAATCAAGGGTAGTGTGTGCATGGCAGGGCAACAAATCTCTTGATGGACAGAGTCTGAAACAATGGTGTCCCACTCAAAGATGGCAGCTGTCCACTTTGTGTGTCACTATCCACAGTCACTATCTTGTGTATCTAGCTCCTGAAAGGGCTCATTATGTCTCTTCCAAACATCCCATCCCATGACTTCAACCCATACTTTTCCCCCATTCTGATTGTTGTTCCACTTCATCCAAAAATTTTTGAGTCTTTTCTGATTTCACTTAGGTGGCCATAACTGTTCTGGTCTAAGGAGTGAAACCCTGATCTAAACTTGGTGGTGAGCTATCAGGGAGAGGCAGGAGCAAGGAGCCAGCCACAGAAATATTTAGCTGTATATAATCCCAAGAGCTGGGTAGTCAAAGGACTCCTAGAAACTGGGAGTCAAAGACTTAGGAGTCTTAGACTTAGGAGTAGTCAAAGGACTCCTAGAAACTGGGAGTCAAAGACTTAGGAGTCAAAGACTTAGGAGTACCTAAGGAGCCTCAATGGCATAGTGGGTTACATGTTGGCCTGCTAACCACAAAGTCAATAGTTCAGATCTATCAGCCACTTCATGGGAGACAGCAGAGGCTTCCTGCTCCCGTAAAGATGTGCAGCTCTGGAAACCCTACCTGGGTCACTATGAGTTGGAATTGACTTTGACAGTGGGTGTGGTTGGGTGGCCACCATCTCTGCTGTGTACACACATGTGCACATAAATATACAGATACATACACATTATATATACCACAGTTGGGTCTTTACTCAGTACAATTTTCTAGTGGACATAAGTAGGGAATTCAGTAAATATTTTCTAAGATACACACCAGCTAGTGTCAGATAGCCTTCCCAGAAGCAAGTCCTGGAGCTTGCCGCAAGTGGGAAAAGTGATTGACTTTGAGCATCTGTTAGGCCACTGGGTCCCCAAGAAGAGTCTGTACCAGTGCTTTGTCCGGAAGGCTCTGGTGGGTCTTTACACCTTCCTGGACTGCGGGAGCCCTGCATCCTGATCTCAGCTCTGCTTGCTTTTCTCTGATGTGACCTGGCCTTGATGTCAAATCCTCCTGACCTTGGAACAGGCACATATCAAGACAACTCCGTCTCCTGAACTGACAAGAGAACGTATCAGAGCACAGCTGCGGCCCTGGCCCAGCATCCCAAGGCTGGCTGAACCTTCTATTAACAGACATGGTTAGAAATGGGGACCTTAGTGTTCACACTGCATGTTGTCCTTGGCACACAGTGACGTTTCCTCCCCATCTGTTCAGAATCCATCCAGAGGCCTCGGACTGTCTGTGAACGCTGGAGGGAAAGCCTGATGGAACACTATGGTGGCATAGCCCGGGACGACCAGTATGTGCCCCAATGTGATGACTTGGGCCAGTTCATCGCCCTGCAATGCCATGGGAAGAGTGACTTCTGCTGGTGTGTGGACAAAGATGGCAGAGAGGTGGAGGGCACCCGCTCCCAGCCAGGCACCACTCCTGCATGTAAGCACCCGGGTGGGCCAGCCCCCACTCACTTCTGCTGCCTCTGAGGGCTTATTTTGTAGGGAAGCTGCCTGCTATAGGAAAACCGGGTTGGGGGGCGGAGAGTATAAGGGGTTATGTTCAGTTATAATCTAGTCCCCTCACAATCCCAGTTTGGATGTGATGTTTGCTTTTGTCATTAGCAGTTTCTGTAATTACAACATCTGGAATCTGGTTCCGCTTGTGTACATTCCCCTTCCCCAGTCCTGTGAAAGGGGACACATGTCATCTCGAGCCACAAAGACAAGCTTATAGAATACTTATTCTGGTTTCCCTTTGAAAAAACAAAGACCCTATGCTTTGTTCAGAGAGGTCTTTTGTTGTCTTCTTGTCTAGTAATTGGCAATGATTTGTGTAATTAATCCTTTTTTAAAAAAGAAAAACAAAAAACCTAGAAATAAGAATTTAATTTAAAGAACATCTGGAGCACATCTGTCTGGGGTGAAGGACTTCCAATGATCTTGGAGCCTCTGGTATGTTTGGAAGGCATTTTCCCGTGCCCTGCCCTACCCTTGTTTCCCTTCCTCATCCCTCCCCATGCCCTCCTTGTCTCGGCAGGTATACCCACGGTGGCTCCACCCACAGTCCGGCCGACCCCCCGCCCTGACGTGACCCCTCCGTCTGTGGGCACCTTTCTACTCTATGCCCAAGGACAGCAGATCGGCCACTTGCCCCTCAATGGCACCAAGCTTCAGAAGGATGCGGCCAAGACCCTGCTGTCACTGCATGTAAAGTGGATTCCTCCTGTGGGGCGGGGGTACCTCTCAGGCTGAGGGGGCTGGGTGGAAGGGAGGCCTGGAGGGTTTCTAGCTGCTCTACTGCAGTCTGTCTTTATGGGTCTGCTCCCAACCCTGCAGAAAGTTGGGGTATGCTGTGTGGCCAGGAGGTACTTCTAACTGTCCAAGGCCATGTCTCCAGTTGGTACACGTTTCAGATGTGTGGAACGGAACTCCAGGGTTGTTAGGATATGGAGGCAGGATGGTGATCCAAGACAAAATTAACCAAAGTTCCCAGGCTTCTCTCCACACTAAAGCCATTGTCACAAAGATGCTAGAAATGAGAGCTGCAGAAGCTGCCTTTCTAGGGGGTTTGTGATCAGTTGAGAAAACCGAAGTGGAAATGAATGAATCCATCAGTGAAGGGATGCTCTCTCCTCTCCATTTGGTTCTGAATGTCATGGAGCCTCCCTTTGTGAAGCTGGGAGAGGTCTGAGCTTTCCCTGAGGGATGGATGCTTGCTGCTTCCTGAACCAGCAGCTTCCTGGCAGCTTTGGATAAAGTGCTTTCTTCCTTAGAATGGGGCCAAGTGAAAGGGGCGGGCCCAGGCCTCCCGCTAACACAATGGTTTATCATTGGATTTTTCTGACTTCATCCTCGAGGTACTTGTTAATCCAAGAGAAGTAACAGCAGTGTTCATGTTTGTATTCTGTTAACAAACAACATCTTAGTTCCAAAAACGGTTCTCTATGCAGTGAGTATTCAGAAATGTTTTTTGGTTGCTTTGCTTTGCTTCCAGCAAACACTAGCATGTTTTTTGGGAAATGTTTCTCTAGAATACTAAGTTAAGAAATGGTTATCGCCTCAGGCCAACCATCTGCTCTTGCAGCCAGGTCAGATGATTTGACTTTTGAATGTGCCCTGATGGGGTGTCGAAGAGGTGGTGGTGCAACTGACAGAGAAACAGGACATAGGTCATAAGCACATCTTGGAGGAATTTACTTAAACTGGGACTTTTTTTTTTCCCCTCTAAGAAATTGTGGACTCATTACATGGGTTAATGAATCCCATGACTCCCTGTGTTAATGGAGACTCGGTCATATGGATGGGCCCTCTTGCCTGGAATAACAAACTTTTTAATTTTCTATTTTCAAGTAAAATTGTAGTTGACCTTTAGCTACCCCATATAAACAGTCTACTCTTCTACAGGAGTCAAATCCTGCTTTGTGCCGTGTTTCTGGTGCTGATTCTGTCTCAGCAGTGTAAGTTACCCAAGTCACAGGGTCTGTGTTAGGCAAGGAGGGAGCTGGCCTGTCCACAGGGTCAACCAGATTGCCTCTTAGTGTTAACTCTGCACATCTGCTGGGCTGGAAGAAGAAAGCAGTTGTGGAAAAATCACAGACCCAGAATTTTCAAAGACTGTCATTTATTTAGAACTTCTCTGAAATACAGAGGGGAGAACTCTAGACCGAGGGTGGGTAACTGCCATTCTCTAGTTTCTTAACCCATTGAATGATGGTACTCTTTTATAAAAGAAAATCTAAGAATCGATTTGTATGAGGCAGAAGTCAGGGTAAGAATGTTTGCACTTCGGATAGCAGAGTTGGGTATGTTTGTATATGTTGGTAAACTTTGGGAAGGCTCTTTCAAAAAGGTGCTGATAACTCTAGAAAGGGAGTCACGGATTTTGTACAGAAAAATATACAAGGCTTTTTCTGCTGAGACTAACTTTTGTCCTTTAATCACTGAAGGGGCTGAGTTTTGTATGTTTATGAAATTACTTTTTACTCCTAACATTAATAGCATTTAGTAACATATAACTGTATACTAATTACTGACTAGGGGAGCTCTGGTAGCGTAGTGGTTACGAATTGGGCTGCGAACCTTAAGGTCAGCGGTTCGAAACTACCAGCCACTCCACGGGAGAAAGATGAGGCTTTCTACTCCCGTAAAGATTTACACCCTTGGAAACCCTGTACAGGGTCACTATGGGTCGGAACTGACTCGATGGCACTTAACAACAAGGGCACTTTACAAGCATTTATGGTAATAATTTTTTACAATAACCATATGTAATACTGTTGTTGCTAAGAACTGTGGAGTCGGTTCCGACTCAGAGTGACCCTGCACAGGGTTTCTGAGGGTATAAATCTTTACTGAAGCAGAAAACCTCATCTTTCTCTGGCTTTCACTTAGTGGCCAGGCCTGGCTTTGAGCTGAGGAAGCCAGCCTCTATAATCTACTTGTCAAACACCCTGTTTGGCTGCCCACAAGACCACAATGCAGCCGTGCATGAGTGAGGTAGCTGAGCATGGACTAGAGGAAATTTAGAGTCCTAACTTTACGGATCTACATTTTGGTCCATGCAGGGCTCCATAGTCGTAGGAATTGACTATGACTGTCGGGAGAAAATGGTGTACTGGACAGATGTTGCTGGACGAACAATCAGCCGCACCAGTCTGGAACCAGGAGCAGAGCCTGAGACGATAATTAACACAGGTCAGCAGCTTCACCCAACACATCTGCATTTCATTGCTTTCCACTAAGCGGAATTTACTTGCTGTGATAACTAAGATTTTGTTAGCTTGGCTGGGTTCAGGATTCTAAGTGGTTTGGCAGTTGTGATGTAGCTGTCTCCCATGATGGGATTTGATGGAAAATGAATTCTTAGGTTTCTATTTCACAAAAAAAATTCCTTAATCCCATCATCACCCTGGATCTGATTTATGGGAGACTATCAAGGGTAGTCCTGGTGTGGTGCTGAGGGCTAATTCATCAGACTGCAAAGTTGTTTGAACTACAAAGTCAGTGGTTCATCAGCTGCTCCTAGGAAACCCTATACAGGGCCGCTATGGGTTGGAATCAACTCGACAGCACTTAACCACCAAGGGTAAGGTATGCAATGCTTTTTATCCTACGAGAGCAGAGAAAAGGTAGGAACTACTACCACCAAATCAGAAGAAGCGATGGGCGTGCATCCATTGGACCTGGGGTCCCTGGATGGTGAGGCTCCTAGATCCAGAGGAAGGTCGATGCCAGGAACTCCCAGAAATGCTGGGCCTACAGATGCCTTTCCTCAAAGGAGATAAGGGTATCTATCCAGAGCTTGTGCTCTGAGTTTGGACTTTCAGCCTCCTAAGCTTTGAGAGAATGGCTTTCTGGTTCTTAAAGGCATCCATTTCTGGTATTTCTATTATAGCAGCTTCAGATAAGACACTTGTCTATTGGACACAACACCCCCTCCAAAAAAATGCTGTTGAACTGACTGGCCTATGGTGATAGCATGTGCCAGAGTGAAACTGGGCACCAGAGATTTCAGTGACTGACGTTTCAGAAGACTACCAGGCCATTCTTTTGAAGTGACTCTGGGTGACTGGAACCTCTAACCTTTCTGTTAGCAGTCGAAGGCATTCATGGTTTGCTCTACCCAGGAAAGCTGTGTGCAAGTCGTTTTATTGTGCTGTGTACAACACCAGTTTATTCATAAGGAATGAAATTATGGTAGACCTTTTGAGTTTCTTGAAAGAAAGAGCTAAAAAGTAAGAATTCGGGGTGTGCAATAGTTGATGATGCCTAGTGCCTTCAGGCTCCTCTAGAATAAACTAGAGGTGGCAGCAAAAAGAAAAGGATTTGTTTCTCTATTAACCCGGTTCTTGGGACTTAGACACTCTTAGGCCCTTCTAGATACCCTACAAGTACTCCACTCCTGCCTTTGTTTTATTTCCAGGTCTAATAAGCCCTGAAGGGCTTGCCATCGATCACGTCCGTAGAACCATGTACTGGACAGACAGTGGCCTGGATAAGATAGAGAGCGCAAAGCTTGATGGTTCGGAGCGCAGAGTCCTCTTTCACACAGATCTGGTGAATCCCAGAGCCATTGCTGTGGATCCAATCAGAGGGTCAGCAGGCTTTCCTAATTCTCTATTAGCTGTAGAAGCAAGAGTTGAAACCCTTGAATTTTCATCATAGGGGGAGGGTAAAAACAAGTTAAAAAGTTCAAATTCATGAATTTTAAAAAACATGTATGAATCTACTAGGAGCCAGGCACTGTTCCCGGTAAAGACAAGATGTGATTTCCATGGAACTTTTGTTGTATTAGGAGGGAATTAAGAGTAGCTTAGCAAATAGACTAAGAAGAAAAATAATAGTGTGTGATGTGACATGTAGAGAATAAAAATGTGTTGTGAAAATAACTGGGCTACTTTTGATGAGATCCCAGGCAAGGCCTCTCCAAGGAGATGTTTCACCTGGAAGGGAAATGGGTCTCTCAGCAACACATTTAAGAACCATAATGTGGAAGCTACTTTTCCTCTAAGGTTTACCTCCTTAGAGTGAGAATCACAGATACCCAATGCCAGAGACACCAGGCCTTTGGCACACGGGCTAGGGTAGCTCCCAATATGACACCGAGTTTGTCTCAGAGCTAGCGAGGGCACCTGAGAGAGAAGACAGTCTGTGAAACCTAATGTTGGGAATGCCCTCTGCGACATTCTTTTGGAATGTTATATCTGCAACATTCTGTTTTCTAAAAACAAGTCACTACTAAATCCAGTCCACACCCAAAGGGACTCCTTAAGCTTATGGTCCTTAGTCATTTTTTACAGCCGTGATTTTTAATTTCTCCACAGCAACTTGTACTGGACAGACTGGAATCGTGAAGCTCCTAAAATTGAAATATCTTCTTTAAGTGGAGAAAACAGAAGAATTTTGGTGAATAAAGACATTGGGCTACCCAATGGCTTAACCTTTGACTCCTTCTCCAAATTGCTCTGCTGGGCAGATGCAGGTATTACTAGCAATGGGATGTCCACAGATAGTTTTGTAAGACAAAACCAAATCCCAAAAATTTATTAACAGCACTGGAGGTAACCTATTTGTCTAACCTGCAAACTTTTTCTACAATAATTCTTATAATACATGTCATGAGCTTGAGATGGATGGGGTAAATTCCAAAGTTAAGTTTCAAAGATAGTACTAGGTCCAACCCATTTTTTATTTTTTTAAATTGCTTTGTTAGTGTTGTGTTATAATTTAATTCAAAAACATACTATCACAGCCAGTATTCCCTTATGCCAAGGACATTCTTTGAAGTGATGTGTCAGGGTGACTTACTAAAGTCTGGTTGCATTGTAATGCTGCTGCAGGATAAGCATTTGACTGCTATGACATTGGTGGTTCAAACCCACCAGCCATTCCTAAGAAACCCTATACAGGGTTGGAATCAACTCACCAGCACTTAACATAGCCAAGTTACTGATTTCGCTATAATGTGCTTTTCATTATTAGGACACGGAAAGGATGCAATTTTGTGTAATTTTACACAAAAGTATATAAAGATACTTCTTAAAGATTTCATAATCCAAATTAACATGTACAGTTGTCTAAAACACGTTAGCTTTTTAAAAGCAGTTGAAAAAGAAATCAGAACTTATTTAAATGATAAATGTGAAATTTGGAGTCCTGATTGATTTGGCTATTAGAAATTGCTCTTAATTGCTTTGCTTAAACTGGCCAAATCTATATTGAAAAATCAGAAGCATGTTACCATTTTAGGTTTTTTTTTCCTACCTAGAAAATAATAAATTCTTGGTTAAAAGCCTGCCTTAGCTACTATGGTGGTGGTGTTTATGTGCCATGGAGTCGGTTCTGACTCATAGCGACCCTGTCCAGGGTTTCCGAGGCAGTAAATCTTTACGGGAGCAGAAAGCCTCATCTTACTCCCACAGAACAGCTGGTAACCACTACCATACGATACCAGAGCTCCTTTAGCTACTATTTGTTGTTGAGTGCTGTTGAGTCGGTTGCGACTCATAACGACTCTGTATAGTGTTTCCAAGGAGCAGCTGGTGAGCTTGAACCGCCGACCTTGCAGTTCAAACAGCTTTGCAGTCTGGCGCATTAACCCACAGCACCACACCAGGACTCCATTAGCTACTATACAACCCCTTAAAAAGACAAACAGTTATCTAGATTTCTTTTGCAGTTGGAACCCCTGGTGGCTGCTAAATTGAAAGGTGGATCATTCAAGCACACCAGCTGCTCTCTAAGAACATAGCGATGTGGCAGCAGTCTACTTCCATACAGATTTACAGCCTTGGAAACCCTAAGGGGTAGTTTTGCCCTGCCCTACATAAGGTCACTATCAATACCTGACTCAACAGAATTTAGTTTTGTTCTGCTGTTATAATTTATTAGCTGACGAGATAAAGTAAATTAGAAAAAATGCTTCTCTAAAGGTCTGCTTTGGAGAAAACAGCCAAATTTACAAACATAAATTGTAAACTTTCTTATAAAAAGAACAGTTTGACTTCTATTATTAAAACTAGAGCTACTAAACAAAACTGTTCAAGGACTAGTAATAGAACAAGAACTTTTCCTGTTGAAATGCCCTGCTTCGGATTCTATTTTCCTCAGACGCTGTCTACTACTACCAGCAAAGCTTCTCCCCCATCATTATTGCAAGGCCCTCATTTTTCCTTTGCTGTTTTTAAAAGGAACCAAAAAACTGGAGTGTACACTACCTGATGGAACTGGACGGCGTGTCATCCAAAACAACCTCAACTATCCCTTCAGCATTGTTAGCTACACAGATCACTTCTACCACACAGACTGGAGGAGGTGAGCCCAGCCCTCACAAGGGACCAAGCTGGACACACCAGTTGTTTTACCAACAGTCAGTGTGGCTTTTGTAATTAATGAAGGCCTTTATTAGCATTTTTATTTCATTCTCTAAACCAGACAAGACCGTGTATTACCTCTTTTAAAACCAAGGCTTTACTTCCTAGAAAGTTAATGGTCACATGTGGCGTAAAGTGGCAAACCTTACTGAACTAAAAAGCAAGCCTATTAAGCTATCTTTGATCTTCAGAAAGTACGACTCCCCCAAAATGTCCTTGAGGGGTATTATCAGGTATGGGGTTTAAGGGTTTTCATTCTTTTTATGACACTGTAGTCATCAGTTATCTGCCTAGAAGATTAAGGAATATTGTAGACAAGGAGTTCTCAAATAAGGAACTGGGGAAGATTTAAAAAAAAAAAAAGGTATAAGGTATGTGCCTAATACCCTTCTCTTACTTGGAATTGTAACTTCACTGGTTTGGCACGAAGCCCAGGCATCAACCATCAGGTAATTTTAATGGTTAAAAACTGATTTAGACCAATGTTTTCAAACTCAGTATGAGTTAGGATTACCCAGAGGACATGTTAAAATGCAGGTGGCTGAATTTGATTCAGTAAGTCTGGTAAGGGGGGTGGAAATCAAAGAATTTGAAGTTCTAACAAGTTCTCAGTTGATGTTGGTCTGAGAATGACTATGAAAGCCACTAATGTCTACTAAATTAGCCAAAAATTGATGTGATTAAAAAAAAAAAAAAAAGGGATGGCCGAGATTTTTGTTACTAACCTTTTTTTTCTATCAAACCTTGTAAATGTGATGAATCTAATGACTATTAAAAACTCACTCTTGTTACCAGGGATGGTGTTATCTCTATAAACAAACACAGTGGCCAGTTTACTGATGAGTATCTCCCAGAGCAGCGGTCACATCTCTATGGGATAACTGCCGTCTACCCGTACTGCCCAACAGGTAATGAATACTCTCAGGTACTCCTTTGGATTAGCAGGGGTGGGGAAGAATTTATTTGCTTACCCTGGATCTAGAGACTGGCAGCTGCCACTAGCACAGACACTATTGCGTTCTCTCTACCACCAATGAGAGCCTCCTTGGTCTGGAGCAGTTGTTGGGGAGCCCAGTATGACTGCCTGAAGTCTACCTAATGAGCATATAAGAACCGAGAAATAAGAATGGTCAGCATATTGGGATAGTTCCCCTTTTTGAGACTTGTTATTACAACTCAGGGTTACAAAATACTCATGGACTCCCTCTTCTCCCATACCTCTACTCTCCCCTTCCAGGAAGAAAGTAAAAGTACATTCTGAAGGCAGACTTACAGAGTTTACAATCAGAACACTAACTGCAAACACTAAGAGGTGAAGAAAGTGAAAGAGAAATTAGCCATTCGAAGTTCCTGGATACAGAACAAGATGAACATTTCTAGTGCGAAAATACTAAGTATATTTTGTGAAAAGTTTATACCTCAATTTTTACTACTGTATTTTTTTAAAAAAAAAAACATTGCTATCATGTAAGTTTAAAAAAAGGTAATAGAATTTTAATTGCTTATAAAAGCAATTTTTCAAAAAACATTTGTATCATATTTAAAGGTTAAATTTGTTCACCTATGAACATTTTAGAGTACATTAAGAGTCTAAATGTGATTTTTTTAAAAAATTGATTCTTTCTGGCCAAGAGATAGTAAAGCACATGTAATCAGTGCAAAAATAAAATCTTAAAACAAGCCTTGATGTATCTACAGCAGGCTATGCAGAACAGAGGGAAAAGAATCAACTTATTTATAATTTCCCTTTTTTTTTTAAAACTCTGCATCAATGCATTTCTATTAAAAGGTGCTAGAATGATTTAATTTGTATTTTCCGATCCTTTGCCTCTATAGAATTACCCACAGAAAGTACTGCATTTATAAAAACCAAAGATGTTAATTAACAGTTCTCAAATCTTCTAGATTACTTCAATAAAATGTTTTAAGTTTTCCTATGACTTGAGAGTATATCTTTATGACACAGTTGGGGACTTACATATAACTTACCAACTTAACCATAAAGGGGGAAAGCAAATGACATACAGCAACACATGCTAATAAACACATCTACTTTCCCAAACTTTATTAACGAAAAGAAAAAAAAAAAAAAAAGCAATGATGGTAAATCTCTAGAACAGTCAATTTTCTGGGATTCCTCCCTTGAAAATGTGACATTAGATTTCCAAACACATGCCCGAAACGTACATAGTCCCCAACTGTACTATGAGATGCTGAAATCCTAAAATGCTCATCTTCCAACTTTCCCCAGTCTGTGGTCTGTCTTTGGATCTGCAATAATGGACTGAACTGCTACTATGGCTTCATTAATTTTCGTCTGCAGCTCTCTGAGTTCTTCTATATGCAGCAATCGCAGGATTTGAGCAGCTTCATTAAGAACTGCATCTGTTTTATAACAAAAAGCACTGCATTAACTTTCTATTTAAGGCTTTTCTCCAGAAATATTTACAAGTCTATAAAACGTTGAATTAATCACAACAAATCACTTACCTCCTGTGTCAAAACCAAGACTATGCTTATCTAACGCAACAGGTAAGCCCTTTAAAGGGGGAAAAAAAAAAAAAGACAACATGAACACGAACTATTTTGTAATTTTTAACCCTTGTAGTTGCAGTGCCAAGGTGACTAACAATTGTTTAAATCTGATTTGTGACTTTTTTTGTTTTTCCTCCTACAACCAATTAGGGAAAGGTAGCCCTTTAACAGACTGGGAAGTAATTAGTATACAGCAAATTTATGTCTGAGGCATTAATTTCTCTGTCTTCACAGATTGGACAAGCTATTTAAAATCTAAAGAACTATTTGTTTTATGAGTTAACATGACCAAAAACAGTTAGAAATGCTTTTAATTGTAGATTTAAAATAGCTGAAAGAATGGAGACTGGTTCTAGAATGTATATAGAACCAGTCTCCAATTTCTCCTTTAGTCTGTCAATGGACCACCAACGACTACCTTTGAAACAGTTAACATAGTTATACAGGTCTTTGCTAATCTTAATCCAATGTCCTGATTCACATATAATAAAGCCAGTTATGAAGCGCTGTCAAGTCGGTTCCAAACCATACCAACCCTTTATGGGTTTTCTGAGGAGCAGCTGGTGAGCCTGAACCGACATCCTTGCAGTTCAAATGGCTGTGTACATTAACCTACAGAACCTTTAAAAGAGGCAATTACATTGCCCTGGCATTAGTAACCTTTCTGAGGCTGCTGCGCCTAAGGAGTCAGAAGAGGTATAGGGTGTGATTTACAGTGGGAGGCAAAAGAGAGGAACTGGAATTCAGAATAGCAGCTCTCACTGCAGCGTCTCCACAGCAGTAAGAGTCAACCCAACCCAACCACTGCCACCCAGTCTAGTCAACTCATAGCAACCCTGTAAGACAGGAGAACTGCTCCTTCGGATTTCAGAGGCTGTGAATGTTTATGGAAACAGTCGCCTCTTTCTCCAGCAGAGTGGTTGGTGGTTGGAACTGCCAAACTTGTAGTTAGCGAACTAGAGTTCCTTTAGGAGAAGGGTATCAGACTTACACAGCTGTTGATGCTGGGTATCAGACATACACAGCTGTTGATGCTAATTCCTGGGCCATTCTCTGCACTGCCCCCTAGTCGACAAAACTATATAGGACACCTGGGTTTGTGTTCATCTGAAAATCACAACTGACTCAGTCAGAGTCAATTAGCAGCAGCAACATTGAAAACAGAAATTCACAACTCTGCAATAGGAGCTGACGTATATACACATAGTACACACTGCTCAGTAAGTCAGTACTTGGCACTTAGGAATCTTTTGCCAGAATAGCCCATATTTTAGGTCAAATGGCAAGGTTCAATAAATGGTATGAAATTTTAAAAAAGCATAAAGAACAAGAAAAAACATTGAATTAAACAGAAAATATAATATATGGATAAAAAAAACACAATGCTTTCAAGATAATTTACAGCAATAAATGCACACATCAACAAAGGGCATAATCGACAGCTTAATGCAACAACTTGAACAAAAGTTGACAATCACCAGAAAAGAAAGCTCAGATCCGAAATGAAATAGAACACAGAAAAAACATAACTATACTAGAAACTTAGGATTATTTGAGGGGCAGAAAATCAGATGCAAATAATCTTAAAGAAATGAGATGGGTACAGTTACAATAGAACCAAATGAGAGTAAATAGAAATTTTTGAAAATATGTATTCCAATAAACTTGAAAACCTAAAAGAAATGGACCCACCACTAATACTGCCAGGGCTTCGATGCTGTAATGCTAGAAGCTATGCAACCACTGTTTCATAAATAACAGCAGGGTTACCCTTGGTAGATAGGTTTCAGGGGAGCTTCCAGACCAAGACCAAGAAGGAAAGATGTGTGATTCACTTACACTATTTTTGTTAAATGCCATTCAGTTGGTTTTGACTCATAGCCACCCTGTATAACACCAATGGGGGGGGGGGGGGGGGGGGGGGGGGGGGGGCGGGGGGGGGGGGGGGGGGGGGGGGGGGGGGGGGGGGGGGAAGGGGGGAGGAACAGACGTCTGGCCCATATTAAGGCCTGCAAAATCATTTGGTCTGGCCCTGCCAGAGCAACCACACGTCCAGCCGTCACATTAGGGGTGAGTTTATTAAATGTCTGAACAAATATAGCAGACAAATTTTTAAGTTATTTTGCATGGCCTGCTAAAATTGTATATATCCGAATGGCCATTGGAACGCACAAAGATCAATATCCTAGACATTAGTGAACCGAAATGGGTTGATACAGGCCATTTTGAATCAGAAAATCATTACAGTTTACTATGCTGGGAACGTCAAGCTGAAGAGGAATGGCATCACATGCATTGTTAAAAAGTGCACGGCAAAATCAATTTGAAGTGCAACACAGTGTGTGATAAGATAATATCCATACACTACATGGAAGACCAGAGTCCTGGTGTGGTGCTGTGGGTTAATGCACTGGACTGCAAAGTTGCTTGAACTGCAAGATCAGTGGTACTAGCTCACCAGTCCCTCCTCGAAAACCCATGCTCGCTATGGGCTGGAACTTAGGACACTTAACAAGGAAGACCAGTCTTACTCAAATTTACACACTAACCATTAAAGCCAATAAGGATGAAACTGATGTGGCGCTTCACTGTAGGATAAACACTGGACTGCAAACCACAACAAGGGAATACAAATGGTTTACAATCAGGAAAGGTTATGTGAAGAAGTAGACTTTCACTATACTTATTCAATCTGTATGCTGAGCAAATCATCTGAGAAACCGGATTATATGAAGAAATGGCATCAGAATAAGAAGCTTAGTAACAATTTTTGCTATTCAGATGATATGACCACCTTGTTTGCTGGACGAAAAGAGGGCTTAAAATACTACAGCTTTCAGGACTGCACCTCAATGTAAGGAAAACAAAAATGCTCACAACTGGACCAATAAATAACATCATGGTAAATGGAGAAAAGATTGAAGTTTTTTTCAAAGATTATATTTTGCTTGACCCCAAATTAATACTCATGGAAGTAGCAGTCAAGAAAATCAAACCATGTATTGTTATTAGGTACATCTGCTGCCAAAAACCTTTTAAACAGCTAAGATGTGAGTTTGAAGAATAAGGAGCACCTGACGCAAGCCATGGTATTAATTGGTTTATGCTTATAAAAGTTGAATAATTTGAAAGAAGGTAGAATTGATGCATTTGAATTATGAAATTGGAGAATACTGCTAGAATAACAACCAAATCGGTCCCAGAAGAAGTACAATCAGAATGCTCCTTAGAACCCAGGTGAGCAAGACGTCATCTCTCATACTTTGGACATGTTATTAGGAGGGACCAGTCCCTGGCAGAAGACACCATGCTTGGTAAAGTAGAGGATCAACAAAAGAGGCAGACACCCCACCCCCAAGATCGATTGACACAGTGGCAGCAACAATGGGCTCAAACATATAACAACTGTGAGTATGATGCAGGACTGGGTTGTGGTTTGCTTGGTTATGCAGAGGGGGTCACCATTAGGTCAGGGAAAAACTCACCTAACAACAAAAGGCACCTAACAACAAAAGAAACACACACTAACTCCTTAAACAAACACAAAAAGTACAAAATTTTTTAAAAACTCTAACCAGGAGAAATTTTTAATTTCAAACAAAAATCCTCCCAACAAAAACAAAAAGCTCAGAGCAGATTGCTTCACCAGCGAATATTACCAAATGTCCAGGGACTAGCTGACACTGAATCTACTCAAAAACACAGAGAAAGAAGTGGTGGTTTTATGCCATGGAGCCGATTCTGACTCACAACAAACCTATATATAGGGTTTTTAAGGCTGTAAGGCTATAAATCTTTAAGGGCACAGAAAGCCTGATCTTTCTTCCACAGAATGCTTGGACTTGAACTGCTGGTTGTGGGACTAGCAGCCCAACGCATAACCTACTATGACTCCTAGAGAAGGAATACTGCAAATTTGGCTTTACAGAATGAATTTGGGTGAAAAGTAATACTCTCAAATTTATTCTATAAAGCCCACTTAACCCTGATACAACAGCGAGGCAAAGACCACTGAAAAAGAAAAGCAAACCGATATTCCTCATAAATACATAACACTTT